CGTGCTGAGCGGACAAACAGCTGATCAGCTGTTTGTCGGCTCAGCGCAGCAGCCACGTAAATTTAAATTAAGCCGCGATCATTTAAATCGCGGCTTCATTTGCCTTTGCCTATCTGTCTAATCTACATGGCTCCATCGACGGGGCCATGTAGTTTAGACGCAGCCTAAGAGTTGTTCCCAAAGATTTTCTGAGTTTTAATTTGTTTTACTTAGTTGCTCTGTACACCTAGCAACCAAGTATGCTTTATCAAGTATAGCTTTTGTTTGTTAATAATAACAACTACTTTTTTTTAAGGTGATGATTTGATTCTTGTTTTCCTGGAAAGTAACAATGGGGTCTGTGTGTGTATTTGCTTGCCTAAGACTGGGTGGTCAGCTACCAGAGATTGCAGCTTGTTCCTCTCTTTTCTTTTTTCAAGCTCTTTTGGGGCAAAAGAGCTTGGGGTATTCCTCAGAAAGGAATTCAAGTGTTCCCTCTTGGGTTTTAGGGTGAAATCATTTGATGGTGGCAGCTTTTTGTGTGTTTTTATCCCTCAGAACCAGAGCATCTGTGATTCTGGGGAGTTTTAGTAAGCAGAGCCTATAGAGGCAAGGTATTTAAGGTCTTTGTGGGCCCCCACCTTCTGCACTTGGAGTGCCAGAGTGCTGAACAGCCCTGACAAGGTTATGGCACCTGAACATTAGATACCTATCCTTTAAATCGGCTTCCGTACCTAATGACTGGAAGGTAGCCAACGTGACACCAATATTTAAAAAGGGCTCTAGAGGTGATCCTGGCAATTACAGACCAGTAAGTCTAACTTCAGTACTGGGCAAATTAGTTGAAACAATAGTAAAGAATAAAATTGTCAGGCACGTAGAAGAACATAATTTACTGGACAAAAGTCAACATGGTTTCTGTAAAGGGAAATCCTGTTTTACTAATCTGTTAGAGTTCTTTGAAGGGGTTAAGAAACAGGCGGACAAGGGGGATCCAGTAGATATAGTATACTTGGATTTTCAGAAAGCCTTTGACAAGGTCCCTCACCAAAGGCTCTTGTGTAAATTACATGGCCATGGGATAAGAGGGAAGGTCCTCTCTTGGATTGAGAACTGGTTAAAAGACAGGAAACAAAAGGTAGGAATAAATGGTAAATTTTCAGATTGGAGAGGGGTAACTAGTGGTGTCCCCCAAGGGTCAGTCCTGGGACCAATCCTTTTCAACTTATTCATAAATGATCTGGAGAAAGGGGTAAGCAGTGAGGTAGTAAAGTTTGCAGATGATACAAAACTGTTTAGGATAGTCAAGACAGAAGCAGACTGTGAGGGACTCCAAGAAGATCTCACCAAACTGAGTGATTGGGCAACAAAATGGCAAATGAAATTTAATGTGGATAAGTGTAAAGTAATGCACATTGGGAAAAATAATCCCAACTATACGTACAGTATGATGGGGGCTAATTTGGCTACGACAAATCAGGAAAGAGATCTTGGAGTTATCGTGGACAGTTCTCTGAAAACTTCCACACAGTGTGCAGCGGCGGTCAAAAAGGCAAATAGGATGCTAGGAATTATTAGGAAAGGGATAGAAAATAAGACCCAGAATATCTTACTGCCCCTGTATAAAACTATGGTACGCCCACATCTTGAATACTGTGTACAGATGTGGTCTCCTCACCTCAAAAAAGATATTTTGGCCTTGGAAAGGGTTCAGAAAAGGGCAACTAAAATGATTAGGGGTTTGGAACGGGTCCCATATGAGGAGAGGTTAAAGTGACTGGGACTTTTCAGTTTAGAAAAGAGGAGACTGAGGGGCAATATGATAGAGGTATATAAAATCATGAGTGGTGTGGAGAGGGCAGATAAAGAAAAGTTATTTATTAGTTCCCTAAATAGAAGAACTAGAGGACACCAAATGAAATTAATGGGTAGCAGGTTTAAAACTAATAAAAGAAAGTTCTTCTTCACACAGCGTGCAGTCAATCTGTGGAACTCCTTGCCAGAGGAGGCTGAGAAGGCTAGGACTATAATAGAGTTTAAAGAGAAGCTGGATAATTTCATGGAGGTTAGGTCCATAAAAGGCTATTAGCCGGGGATAAAATGGTGTCCTTGGCCTCTGTTTGTCAGAGGCTGGAGAGGGATTGCAGGAGACAAATCGCTTGATCATTGTCTTTGGTCCACCCTCTCTGGGGAACCTGGTGCTGGCCACTGTCGGCAGACAGGATACTGGGCTAGATGGACCTTTGGTCTGACCCAGTACGGCCGTTCTTATGTTCTTATGTACCAATTGGCAGCTTAAGAAAATCATTGGGACACATTAAATGCTCCCAGTATTAGCTTGTCCCCAGTCTTATTGTCGCCCATTCGCTTTGTTCTACTCCCCATCTCCAGCACCCATATTAAAAAGATAAACCTGCTAAAAGATCAAGAAAAGCCAGTGCAATAAATAGACTTTGAAATTTATATCTAACTGTTGTTTTTAAGACCCTCTAAATATTTTCACATGAATCACTGCAGGACTTTGGATCAGTAAAGAATGCTCTGTTATATTTACAGTATAATATTTGGTCAAACAAGGAGGCAATAAAAGATGGAAGATCAAATGTTGCTGAGCATTTGTTATTAGGTAGTACTGTGCCTCTAACTTCAGTGAAGTAAGCTGTAGTTCAGTTTAGTGTGGTTATTCCCTTCATTCCACTGGTTAGTCAAAACCCACTATGCTACATATCTGAGTCATTCCCTCAGACATTCTGCCTTGTATCAGCACTTCCTCATTTAAAGCAGGGACTGGATTCTAGCACTGCATTTGATTTTCAGCCCTCTCGAGCAAAGTATCAAGAAAATCTACAGAGACGTAAGTTAGAATTTTTTTTTATAGTGAAAAAAGCATCTGAGATCTAAGCTTGTCGGGATCTTTTTATACCTGCTTCAGGAGTGGTGTTTGTGTTTAGAAAACTAGAAGTGAGAAGTGAAAGTTGTTTCTGCTGTGAGTGGCAATATGCTGGGGGAGATAAAAGAAAACAACATTGGTCTCTAATTTCTCTTAAATATAATTTGCTTTAGTATTGATTTGGGGTGCTGTGAGGGGCAGGGCGCACACGTACCCGTGCTCACATGCTCAGGTATGAGAAGTGACTGCTTAAAAACTAATTGCAGAGGAGAAAAGCAAACCAATGCCACTGACTAAAAGCTTACCAGTGAGAACAAAGGTCGCTGTCACATGAAGGTAAATGTTATCTGCACTATGTGTTTAATTAACTAAATGACATGCTTTATCTGTATTGATATTCACTTTCCTTGACCATTGTGTTGAACAAGATTATTGGCATCAGCTAAGCTGCAGCTGTGAAGTTTAGAGTAGTTTGCAAAAAGTGAATGCTGAATTTCAGCATAAATATTCACACTGAACACTTGATGCTGAAAGTTATTTAACCCATCTGGGAAAGGAAACTATAACAAACAAACCTATAAGTCACATCACTAAACACACTTTAAAGTTTCAGATGCAGAGTTTTCCCAATGATCTGCTTGCGTCCAATTCACAGAGCAAGAGAGTCATCTGTTGAAATTATCCAGCAAATATTGAAAAACAAATAAACACAAGAAAATCTTAAGCTGCTGACAGACCACTGCTGTGCTCACTTATTTATTATTGATGCTGAGGTAGCATGTAAGTATCCCAATAAGAGGTTAGAGTTGCATCGTATCAAGCAGGTAACAAAGACAGCCTGTGCCCCGAAGAGTTCAGGACAGTTGCATAGATGAGTCATAGAGGTTGAAGTAACCACAGGTGTTTGTCATCTTAGCGAGAGGGAGTGATTTGTGCACCCCATGGCACAGGGAAGCTTTAGGAGGGATATAATGTTGTGATTTTTAATGGGATATTTCAATACAATATTTGGTATAAATTACTCATTTAGTTCTACTCCCAGAAGTGGTACATTCCAGTCATATAGAACAGAGAAACCTGAAGGACACTTATGAGTGAACAGGTATGATATTAAGAGAGCAGAATGTTTTTTAAAAAAATGTAAATAAAAATAGTTACCAGACCAACCTGTAAATAATGAACCATGTGGATTGGAGCTAAATTCCGCCCCCTCCTCCCCCTGCTCCAATAGTCCTCAGAGGCAAGCTTAAACCACGGTCATAATCAGACCAAAGCTAGCAGGAACTTTTCCAAAATGTTTATTTGCCAAAAGCCAAGGTTCCTAATTCCCCTTTTCAAATGTGGAAGTCAATAGGACTTAGATGCTTTTGAAAAATTGACCTGAGATAATTAAAGTTCTTCCATCATTTAAACACCATTATCAGTTCTGAAAATACAGTAAAACCACATTAACAAACATCTCTGTCATTCTGAATACCAAAGGTCTTCAGTAATTTGCAATCTGCCTCTTAGCCCCAGCCTACACTATAAATGTATGTCAGTATGGCTCTGTCGCTTCAGAGTGTCAGAAAATCCATACCTCAGAGACAGGGTTATATTGAGAAAACTCCTGGCACACACACACACAGCTCTATGTGGACAGGAGGGCTTCTCCCACATAACTACTGCCTCTTCTCACATAACTACTGCCTCTTAGGGAGGTGTCAATGGGAGCAGCTCTCCTGTTGGCCTAGGAGGTAGTGTCTCCACTATGTGCTACAGATGGTGCAGCTGCACTGCAGTAACAGTAGACAAGCCCTTAGCAGTGCAGGGAATGCAACACAAAAATGCAGGGATTGGTGCAGCGGATCCTCCTCAGGAAGCCAAAGAATATTTTTAAGTAGTAACAGTTGCCTTTTCCTCCCAACATTAGGTAATCAAAATGTTTTCAAAGTGCAGTCACTTGCAAAGATTTTCCCATAATCTTTTGTTAGTGAGGTTCTAACAGGACGTTGCACAAGTTGCTGGCTAGCCTCACCCACCAATACAAAAGGTCTCTTTCAGTCCTGCTAGAAGATGCCTGCTGCTAAGCTTTCCTTTGACGGCACAAGAATGCCCTTCTTCAAGGGAAACCATCCTGAGAAAACTAGGTACCCTTCTCTCCTTTACAAGCAGGCCAGCTGGTTCCTGCTCATTGTGCTATGCTCATTTAATTTATCATTGATTTTAAATCAATAAAGACTTTTAAAAAAATATCATGTAACTAGGTTTGATTAGTCACCTCTGAACCTCGCTGCAAAACATCCTACTCTGGTTCCCTTTTTTGTTGTAGAAATCACACACATTTTGGTAGTCAGTTCTAATTACCTTCATGAACTCTCATCAGAAGTAACATGTCTGCGCTTGATATACACACACCCACACACACACACACACAAATATTTGCTACCTCCTTGTGCTCCATCACCATCTGCCCCTCTTCCCTATTGATTCTCAGTCCCACATCTGCTTTAGTCACTACAGACTGGAATCTGATGTTACTTAGCACAAGTCTATGGGTCTATTTGGGGAGCCAGGTGCTTCTCAATATGAGTAAGGGTACGTCTAGACTACAGACTTTTGTCGACAGAAGTTTTGTCGACAGTATCTATCGACAAAACTTCTGTCGACAAAGAGCGTCTAGACACATTCAGTTCTGTCGACAAAGCAAGCTGCTTTGTTGACAAAACCCTGTAGTCTAGACACAACCCTACATGCAAAAACACCTTCTGTCGACAGAACTCTGTCGACAAAAGGCGTTATGCCTCGTAAAATGAGGTTTACCAGCGTCGACAAAACTGCTGAGTTCTGTCAACGTTATGTCGACAGAACTCAGCGGTAGTGTAGACGCAGGTATAGTTTTGTCGACAAAAGTCCACTTTTGTCGACAAAACTCTGTAGTCTAGACACACCCTCAGAGTATCAGGAGTTGGGCCCACGAGTTTCATTAGGAAGTCAGAAAGAAGCTCTGAAAATATTTTGTTCATGGTATATACAATATTTTGAAAAAAAATAAAAATAACTGGTTTCTCCACCACTCTTCTTTTGCTGAACTTACATCATAGCACTATCTCCCCATAAATAGGAAATGCCTTATTTCCAGTGACAGAAAGCCATGTAGGCAGCTTTCACTGTCATTCATGGGAATTAAAGAATAATCTTCCTATAAAAGTACGGCAAAAGATATCAGACAGATGATACCTCGCATATAGATGGCAATGGAGCAATTTTGCTTGATGAGTAAAACTGCATCAAGTACAGAGCACTTGTCCTTTCGTGGACATAATGCAAATTCAAAGGCAAAGGAGCACTGTAAATTCTGATGTGTATTATTGAATTTCTTGGGAGCACCATTCCCTTCAGATTATTTCAAGGCAGATCAAACTCCCTAGTAGGCAATTACTGCTCAGGTTTCTGCACAATACCTCTTACTAAGGATGACAGTCCCCTACCTGCCTGTCTTTTACTTAATTCTGTTTATTAGTGTGTGTAATAGTCACAAACTTACAAATACACACTCTGTGCATTTATAATATAGATACACACAATCCTGCTAACACTTACATACAAGTAATTTTACTTACATAAGTGATCCCACTGCTGCAATGAATCACAACTTTTCACATTCTTCATTTAAATAAGCTAAATAACAGACAACAGGACTCAGTTCTTTGTGTACATAAAAGTTTGCAGGATCAGGCCCCACAAAAAATGAGACGTGTAAGTGTAAAGGAAACATTGCCACTGGATCACTTGCCCATTATGAAACAAATGTAATGTAATTTAAGTCTGACACCTCTGATTGTGCTTGGATTTGATTAAAAAAAAATCACTTAAACCACTGACAGTACGATATCCAGAGAAGCAGAGAGATCATCTAGCTCAGATGTTCTGAAACTGCAGATCAGGAACCCAAAGTTGGTCGTGACCCCATTTTGATGGAATCACTTGGTCTGGCTTAAACTTGCTGTATCCAAGGCCAAAGCCCAAGTGCAAGGGTTACAACCCAAGACCATAGGGGCTCAAGCTACAGGTCCCCTATCTGGGGCTGAAGCCCTGAAGCTTCCGATTTGCCCCTCTTCTTCTGAGGTGGAAAGGCTTTGGCCCCCTGGCCTAACCCAAGATGGCAGGGATTGAGTGGGCTCAAGCTTTGATACCCCACCCCCACCTGGGATCCTGTAGTAATGTTTCCTGCCAGAATGGGGGTGCAGTGCAATGAAGTTTGAGATCCCCTGGTCCAGCTATTTCAATAAAGGAAGGGAAGAGGCATCTTCGTGGCATATATTCTAAAAAACTACTCACGGGAGGAAACAGTAGGCCAAATTGTTCTCTGGTACATCCAGCTAGGACCATTAACTTCATTGGCCTGGATTAGAATTTAGCACACAGTAAGAAAGGTAAAAATGAAAAATAACCACTTTGCTAATTGCAAACATAGAGAGAGTTTTCTAGAGAAGCCTAAATGAAGCCCAAACCAGAAATTGCTCTTACTAGCCCATCCTCAGTCCCTCAAGACTTGATATACTGTAAGCAGTGAGCTAGGATACACACCCCCTCATCCAAAGCCCATGTTGTCACCAATGTTAATGGGAGGTGAACAAGAGTAGAGTACAACTTGAACAGAGCAGCAAAGGAGTGCAATATTCAGAAGTGCTCAGCAGTGACACAGCTCCGCTCCGTTGAAATCAATGGGCGCTTTCCCATTTACTTTGCTTGGAGTATGAATTAGGAGTCAATGTCACATGTTTTTGAAAATTCCACCCTAAACCAGTTGGGGGCAATTTTCAAAACTGCCTAAGGGACAGATTTCTGCAGGCATTTAGATACCTAATCATGCAGATGTGGGAAAAGCAGTGTCTTAACTCCCATTGATTTTATTTTTAAGTACCTACATACCTTCAGAAATCTCGCCCTAAGCATCATGAGCTCGGATAACATTTTGGTGC